AGTTTTTAAATTAAGAAACAGTAAAAAAAATATTATTCAAAATAATTAATTTAATAAAAGAAGCACATAATAATGTTTTATGAATATATTTTATATAATTTAGAAAAACTGTGAATTTTACGGTAAATAAAAAAGGAAAAGTTGACTTCAAGAACTTGAATGTATTCAAAATAAAAAATATTGCTGATGCTTTTCGATTATTGCGATCCGGTAATGCACAGAAAAAAGTATCTTCCACATTTATGAACTYYAAGTCCAGTCGGTCACATTGCATTTGTAGAATCACTTATGCTATAAAAAACGATGTATCCAAATTGAAYACAACAATTGTACTTAATTTGGTTGATTTAGCTGGGTAATAATTATTTTAGATTTTGAATGAAGAGACAAATATATTGATTTTCTTTTTTTTAGTTCTGAATGTATTTCAAAATCAAATAACGACAAAAAAACGTTAACTGAGTCTCGTTACATAAATGTATCACTATTCCATCTACATCAAGTGATAAATTCCTTAGGAAATCCCATCCAACAAATACACGTGCCTTACCGTAACTCTGTAATAACGATGTTACTAAAAGGTTCATTGGGATTCAATTGTTCCACTGCAATGATTATAACAGTAGTACTAAATCAACGAAGTATTGTGGTAAGCATATTTAATAATACTTATAAAATGTCTGAAAAATTAATAATAATTATTGGGTAACTATTATAGGAATCAATATCTACCTGTAAGTATGCTAGAAACGTTTCTGGCGTAAAACACATTATTTTGGCACCCACGAAAATCCAACAAAGTGTGAAATTGCCGGTAGAGAATAAAGTAAATTGTGAAATATATATATATATATATATATTATAATAGGTACATAACTCCAAAAATAATTAATGTGATGGTTTGATTGTTAGGTCAACGAACAAGTTTGCAAGATATGTAATATACAAATCAACGTACCCAGTAGTTATATCCTCAATGTCACGCCGACCGATGTGAAGCAACCGCATGTTATGGAGTCTGGCGATGGAATTAGACATAACCTGCAAATGGCCAAGGTGCGTTTTAAGTCAATTTTTTWAYATCTTATGTAGTCATGTTTATATCTTATTACTAATAAAAATGATGTATATGGTATCTATAGGTTGACTCAATTGAAGATAACGTAGAACGTGCCATTTTTGTTGACGAATACGTACAAACTAATATAAGCAAAAGTATTTCAGTGAGAAATGACGTTGATTCTATTGAAAACCAAATTACTAAGGTGATTTTTAAATTAATTTTTTAATATCAATATATTATAGGTATTAAATAATTGTCTTAGCTCTAATAATAATAATAATGCGTCTTCAATCTTCATAAAACAATAAACTATTTTAAACAGTGTACTTACACGTATTAAACAATTTAAAATTTTTTTTATAAATACTTAAATACGTAAAAACTAACTAACTTAAAMTATTATAATCCTGCGAGATGTAATGATTGAGAGATTAATAATAATAATAAATCTTGGGGTTGTTAGGTCAATTTAATCGGTGATAACGATGTACACACCGTTCGTGATGAAAAATGTAGAAGGAATTTTGAGACTCAGACCGTTGTCCTTAGCAGTAACGTCGGCGTTATGGCGGATATGCAATGTGATGACATTACTAGTAATTATTACCAAATTACCAAAGTGGTATCTATAGATAATAATATGATAATATCCCATTGTATTAGATGATATTAAGGTCTTCAGATGTGGATGGACTTCAGTTTACAGAAAATGTCTATTTCTATTGATAATTATAGCATTAATATTTATGGAGATGTGGAAACATAACCCCACAAGATTTTACAGGTAAATATAATGCTATGGTCAATAATGATCGAATATAGTTGAATAGCAATAATTTTGAATAAATGGTATAAAAATAATTTTTTAACGGTGCCGAATACGTAGGTACAACGATGTCTAGTGTAAATTGGTGTATTCAAATATTGTAACTTATAATTAATAGTTGAGGAATTACATTCTGAGGAATGTAATTCAACATTACTTAGTGATTTTATAAACATTTTTGATTAATTGATATTTAAAAAAAATGCAACTTATAATTTTTAATTAACATACTTATGGTATAGGAAATTAATCATAAAAATTAAGCCCTCAGAAATATGGGTCATTGTGCTTGTATAAAAAATAAAATTATTGCAAAA